ATGTCACAGGAATGTTATACTGGTACCAAAGTGATATCTCTTTGATAGATTTCATTATGAGAGAGACTGTTACAGGAGTCACTAAGTCCCATTAGTGGAAATGCATATTCTACAGCGCCTGTGCTGTCCCTGCTTTACTGGTCTGGTCCCTGGCCACCGGCAATCCTCACTCTTTGAGTTCCCCAGGTTCTTGGAGCAGTTTCCTTCGGTCAATTTACAAGCTCCTCCGCTGAGCTTATACCACACTTCTTCCTACCACATAGTGCTCCACACTGTACTCCTCCGCAGGACCCAGGCCTTTTGCCACTGCTCTCACCAGGCCTTTCGTGAGCTTCCAACATTTAATAGTGTCGCAGACCCTAGTAACACTCTTTTTGATACTTTGAAAATTTTACTTCTTCACTCATTCAATCCCTACTTTCTCTAGAATAGAAGGTTTCTGAAGGCAATACCCTTTCTGTGACCTCAAATGTCCTGTTCAGGATGTAGTAGGCACTCAAAAAAATTTTGAGGTGAATGCGATTGATTCTTCTTCATCTTACAATTGTACAATGGAGCTACCTGAAAGATAAATGAAAGGGAAAATTCATTGGAGAGCTGGAATTTGTTAGTGGTCTTTCTTGGTCAGGAACTCCCTGGTTCATGGGGTTAGGCCAAGCAAAGGAGGGAACACAATTATTTCTGAAATCTATGTTGAACACATACATGCTGCTATTATCTGAATGTTGACTGTCTCCAAAGGCCAGTTCGTAGAAGGCTTGGTTCTCTGGGTGACAGTATTTGAGGATGCTGTGAACCTTTTGGAGGTAGGGCCTGGTAGAGAAGTTCAGATCATTGTCCCCAGAGGGAATTGCCAGACCTTGGCCATCCAGTTGTTCTCTTTTGCTTCCATTCTTTTGGTCTAAGTGATTCCTGTCTGCTGTGTGTTTTCTCCATGATGTGCCATCCTTGAAAGGGACCACATTACTTTGGACAAGGATCTTAAGAACCCTGAGCCAAGGGAGCCTTTTCTCTTTACAAGGAATGCTTGATATATACAGTGGATGATTACAAGACACATTGCTATTAATCCTCCTCAAAATACCCTTCTTTGCTTTGAACACGTTTATTTCATCATTATTACCAACTGTGAAGCAGTTCTAGAAGTCCTCTTTCATGAATGTCCTTATGAGGTGCAATTCAAAGTACAGTGAACACTGTTGCCCACCGAAAGGCAAGCTCTGAAAAGTTTGCTGTATGTTTCCTGCCACCTTATTCACAGAAGCTAGCACGGTGGTAATTCTGGCTCTTCCACACAGTTAAAATCACCTTCAGAAGTAAATGTTTTAAACCAGGTCACAACATTGAGGCTGCCATGACTTGCAATTTTGGCAGAACTAAAGACACTGAAGAAAGAGAACTTCCGAACTGTTTCAGAAAGTGGAAAGAACTATGGGACATGTGTGTTTGGAGTGAATCGAAGTATTGCGAGGGCAGTTAATGGCAATGTGTTTTTCTCTTTAATAAATAGTTTTACTTAAACATGCCCACAGATATAAGTTAAGTTGTCTCTAATATTTCTTTGTAATGTAAAACCTACATACAATAACTCACTTTGTTCTTGATAATGATCTCATGTAAATTCAGGAAATCATCTTCATTCTGTAAATTAGAAACATAGTTGCAGAGACAAAACGATTCTGCACACTCACATATTCAGAAATGTGAGAGGAAGGAAAACCCAGAAGTCTAACTGCAAAGGCCCAGAGAGGCTGGAATTCTGGGGAAAAAGTACGAGCGTACTCATTAAACGAATTGCTTTCTTCTATGACATTTTGAGGAAGTCAAGGTAAAAAGCAAACAGAACATTAGAGTCCTGTTGACTTCACACTGGTAGTTGGATCAGAAAATAAATCTGAAGCACCAACATGGGGTCTGTACAGATTTTGGGGGAGCTAAATATTTCATGATATGGTTCACCATCTCCTACCCATTCAAAGAAGGTCGAGGGACGTTGAGTAGCACTGTACATGAGTGGAAAAGAATCCACCTACCTTTTCTCTCCCACTACGGTGGGATTCGTATGACCTGAGTAATGTGGGTATTGAACTAAACAGCATAAACGACCCTTTTCCTGACTTCTTCAGTTTCAGTGATACAAACAGGTCTTTCCCTCTTATTTTGCACACAGAAAGTTCGTGTTTGGCCTAAGAGGGCTCCCCAGAGGTCAGAGTACAGGGGGCGGCGCTGGAGGGGCTGCAGTGGAGCTGCAGTCACCGCGGGGTCCGTGGGTGCCCTGTGCTTTCACTTCAGTCCTTGCGCAGATTCCTGCTGGTGCGGTCCTCTTCTGTCCTCTTCCTGTTTTGAAACTTTTCCTTTTCTCATCCTAGCCCCTTTATAAGGTACATCTTCAGCCACCCTTACCTGGGACACCTGTTATGGTGACAGTTCATGGAGGACGGCTCCTGTGTCTGAGTAGACAGGGAAAAAGGCTGCCCAGCCGCTGGGGTTGCTGGAAACAGGAAGCGCTTTCTGAGCATCTACAAATCCACGTGGGGGTATTTAAACTGTGAGCTGCCCCTCCCCACATGCAATAAGAATTAGCCCACTACATTAAGGACCAGAGCTAGCAGGCTGGGTATAGTTAAATTTCAGAGAAACCAGAAAGTTGGGGGCAGGGGAGTACAGAATTACTAAATTATTGAGCAAAATGGAAAAAAAAAATTAAAAGGGAAGAATTATTTTATTTGGGGACTACAAAGCCTGTCTAGGTAGCCAAATATTTTGAATGTAGTGAATTTATGTCTTTTCCAGGACATATACTTAAAATGAACTGGTTCCAAATTCTCAAAGGGCAACCAGATGAATAATGTCAGCTATTTACTAGCAATCGCCTGATCGTTTGGATGTTCATCCTGCACTTAATCATCACCAATCATGAGTGATTATACATAGTGCAGTGAACAGAGACGTAAGTCACGCCCTCACGAGCCTAGGGTCTAAGGAAGGACACGCAACCTGGTTGGTGTGAAGACAGAACTATAAGTGGACCTGGGACACAAAGGGTAAGACACCACCTAGCTGGCGCTCTAGGGAAACTTCCAGCAGGGTGGAAACCGGAAGGATGGTTCTGTTGGGCAGCTTGCCTAGCCCTTACTAACCAGTTATTTAATCAGACACTAATGTGGAATCTATATCTTGCCACGAAGGTACTTTGGAGATATGGTTAACATCTACAATCAGTTGACTTTAAAGAAGGGAGATTACCCTAGACAGTGCAGGTGGGCCTCCTGTAAACACTTAGGAGCCAAAAGTTTCTGAAAAAAAGAAATCCTGCCCTCGGTCTCAAGTCTCTGCTGAGTTCCACGCTGCCAGAACTGCCTTACAGCTCTTAGATGGACAGATCCTTAATGCGTGAGCCTATTTCTCTAAGTAAATCTTTTATCATGTTTATGTGGGTGTACATGTATGGTGTGTATGTGTTCAGATTCAACGCCTCAGTCATGTAAGATGTGAGAGTGTGTGAGGGTGTGTGTATGTGTGTGTGTGTGTGTGTGAGAGAGAGAGAGAGAGAGAGAGAGAGAGAGAGAGAGTTGGGGAGGAAAAGAATAAGTCAGATCTTCAGGCAGTTCCATGTGATCTGGAGACTTTGGAAGGATTTTAGGTCTAGGACTGAGAAGATTAAATTCACATTTTAGAAAGGTCTGTTACTATGGAGAGCAGAAACCGGAAAAAAAAAAAAAAAAAAAAAAAAAGAAGCTTGTTTAAGTTCTAGACCGACTCACATTAGTCTTTTTTTAAAATAGGGCAGTGAGGTGCTGGATCTATATGGTTGATGGTGGGTTTGGTCTCACAGTAGACCCTTCCATCATCACTTTGATGGTTTTCCTAGTTAGAGCTTGCAACCGGGAAATACTCCAGCCGGCTGCGAGCAGGGCTGGGAGCTCCCTGAGTACACACAACGGTCGGGTGGGAGGGTGGAGGTCAGCCAGGATTCCCGCTGCGAAAGTGGGAAGAAAGAGAAAGTTTACGGAAGGCTGCAAGTCCCGCTAGCTCCAGCGCGCGCGCGGATTCGCCTGTCACGGAGAGGCCAGCCTCTAGCCTCGCCCTCCGCCTCGCTTCCTGCGCCCCCGGGTCGCCGCGAGGTCAGCGGTCTCCGCCTCCGGAGCTGGGCGCGGCCTGTACCTGAGACCCAGGCCCGGCAAGAATGGGGCGGGGGCGCCAAGTGTAGGCTGAGGTCGAGGCCCCCACCCCGCCGCCTGGAGCAACCTCAGTCTCCGCAAGGCGGTCTCTCTGGAGCACCTGGCCGGGTTTCTTCCCTTTCCGCCACCCCCGGTGACTTCACCCTGGCACTGCGGGCTGCACGGCCTTCCTTTGCGGTCAGGTCCGGGATGTTCCGCAGATCACAGCTCCTGGCCCAAGCCGGGCACCACTGGAAGTGCAGGCGGGAGGCTGGTTGCCGGCTACCTCCAAGCTTTGCCAGGTGCTTTGCCACTGTGAGAGCCGGAGGCTGGCATCCTCCCACACTCCAGTTCCGCCAGTGTCGGCGTCCACCGGGCCGCGTCCCTGCGTAACCCCGGGATACAGGGGGGCGCGTGAGGGCGAGGAAGACGCCCACAGGCGAGGGGCTGGGGACCCTTGCTCTGAGCCAGCGCCACATCCCGTTGCTCGTCCTGGCAGGGGCTGGGCTACGTGCCCGAAAGGGACAGAGAGGAGCCGGCGGGAGGGCGCGGGAAGGGGCGCGCGCGAGGGGAGGCGGCAGGTGAGCCGGGGCTGCCCCCGACCCTGACCCCGGGGTGCACGACGGGGGGGTTGGGTAGGGCGTCCCGCCCGCAGGCGAAGGAGCCCTGGGGAGCTGGGGGTGGCCGGGCCCGGCTTGGAGTGCGCCACACCCCCGCGGCGGGGACGCACAAAGACATGCGAGGCGCGCGCACAAAGACGCCGGGGCGCTCGGCTGCTCCTCCCGTCCCCGGCCGGGCCAGCGAGGAGCCCGGGCCCAGCGCGCGGCTTCGGGGCTGCGGCGGCTGCAGGGTGGCGGGGACCCGGGCTCCGAGATCCCGGCGACCCAGGCCGGCCACAGGCGCTCGCGGGGGCGGCGGCGCCCTAGCCCAAGTTGGCCTCGGCCTCGCCCTCTGCCCAGCCCGCGGTGTCCCCTCCTTCCCGCGATTCCGTTCCTTCTCACGCTCCCCCACGCCCCCTCCCGCGTCCAGCCCCGCTCTCTGCCCACCTTGTAAAACAAAGCCGGGGAAAATGCCTGCCCGTGCAGCTGGGAGCTCGCAGCCCGTCTCGGAATAAGTGAGTACAATGGCGTGTTGGTAAAAAAAAAAAAAAAAAAAAAAAAAAAAAAAAAAAAAAAAAAAAAAAAAAAAAAAAAAAAAAAAAAAAAAAAAAAAAAAAAAAAAAAAAAAAAAAAAAAAAAAAGAAAAGAAAAATAAAAAAGCTTCAAGTCCGTCTTTGCCCAAAAAGCATTTTGAATGCTGCATGCCCCATGCTTCCCAGCGCCTCGCGGGAGAGACCCGGCTACGCAGCAGGAGGTGAGACCGGTCCCCCTCCGGCCCAGGCTCGGCGGCGCGGGCCCCGGCCGCCTGCATACGCTTCCCATCTCCATTTCCCGACCGGAGTGTTGGACCATAATCTGGATTTGGACGCGAACCCATCCCCTGGCCGCTTCTGCTCCATCTCCCGCTGGCGCCTGGGGCTTTTGCGTATGCCTGGGGTGTCTGGATTGGAACACCTGGGGAGAGTTTGCGATGCAGGCAGAGGGTCAGTCTTGAAGAGTGGCCCGCTGGCAGGTTGCATGGTGACCCTGGTCACACTTGTTGCCCACTGCATGGTGGTGTTTCCGCAAAAAGAGAAAAAGCTCATTTTTTTCTGTGTGCGGTGGTCATTTGCGGCTGCAGCGGAGACGCGGCTGGGTGAGGACTCCGGCGATGTGCTGGGGGAGGGGGTCTGAAGGTGCAGAGAGCCGGGAAGGGTCCACCCTGGTCCCTGATCTTCCTCAGACACGGAAGACAGAAACCCAGAGGTTCCCCATGTTAGATCCGGAGAAGAGGCTGCTTTTATTTATGTATTTATTTATTTTACCCATTGCTGTCCATTCTGCCTGCCAAATGTGCATTAGATGTATTTCTGCTAATTAAAAAATAAGGCAACAGCTTAAACGAATTAAACTCCTTGAAATATATTGGTTTACCTCTCTCTCTCTCTCTCTCTCTCTCTCTCTCTCTCTCTCTCTCAAAAACCCTGTGCTGACAAAGCCTATGATGATGACAGTGTTTTGGTGGATCTCAGATCGGCATTTGGTAGCGTTAAGGTAAACAGTCTTGGTGCTTTCCAGTTCTGCGGAGTAGAAACCACTGACGTGGAAGAGCAGAGCCGCGGAGCAGAGCGCAGAGGAGAGGCTGACAAGGGCTGCTCTGGGGAGACACCGTGAAGCACCTGTGTATTTTTCTGTGATTTTTATTTCCAGCATGACTTAGCTCTAGATTATTATTTTTATTTTCACTCTGCCTCCCTAGCCAGCTTGGAGGTGGTGCTGGGGAGTCTGCAGGTGACAGTGATCTTTAGCTGATATGAGTACTATTTTTAAAAAGTATGTCTTGTAAAATTTGAAACATTATAAGCACATACACAGTGCTAGTTTGCAATGAAATTGCCTTCCTGAAGGTTTTAAAGGTGCCTTCCGGTTTGTGACTGTCCTCAGAACAGGTGACTGTTCAGGAGGGAGCCAGGTGCATACCTGTGTGCAGAAGGCTGAATCTTAGGGAACTACTGGGCTGGGCTGTAGGGCTGAGGAGTCTGTCCTTAGGATCGGGATCCTGTGTCTTCATCAGAGCTCAGATTTTGTCCCTTGAGATAACTGTGCTGAGCTGTGCTGGTTGAGGACCTCTCTTACCTGCCATGATTTCACAATGCACTTTCCTCTAGTGCCTCAAATGGCTTTGTATGGAGAGCTGGTCGCCAGTGGAGATGCTGTTTATGAACTTGAACTGCGGTAGCTGGTATGGTGCTAGGCGAGAGAGCAGGGCTGCAGCCATGTGAAAATTGGCATCTTTATGGGCACCTTGTCCTCAAGTACTTTCAGTAGTTGTTTGGGTGCTAGGTGCAACTCCATTGGGATTTCTTGTATACTTACCTAGAAGTGTGTTTCAATTTTAGGGTATAATTTTAGAAAGCTTATATTATATACGATAACAAGGTTCCTCATATCTAGCAATTATAGACTCTGAATTGATTTTTCTATCTGAGTTGGACTTTTGAAGTCCTATATCTTCTAGCCATTCTGTCAACTCTAGTTCAGGGTTACCTTTGCAATCCAGTTTTCTGTAGTAGATGGCTTATTTTCCTTTTAGCAACTGGAAGCCTAGTTGCTCTTGTATTTTCTGAAAAGAGACCAATTAATGATATTTTTGACCAGCTGAGATAAATAATAAATGAAGGTAGAGTCACCTCAGAGTATGTGAGAGCTTGTAAGGGAACCTATAATTACTCTAATGGAGTAATTAGGTCTGTGTAGAGAACAGAGAGTCTAAGGTTTGAGTCCAAGTTTTAACTTTGTTTTCCTGATGTTATTCACTGTTGAAAGGGGACTTAGCTTTTCTTGACTACCTCAGATTGTGCCACACAAGGGTTAGAAATGATGTATAGTTTTTAAATGTGTCGGAGGAGGCATGATGATACTTCATAATCTCACTTAGGAAGAGAAGCACAAGCACCAGTGACTGGACAGAGTGGTTTATTTACAGCATGTTTTGTCAGAAAAAAAAATGATGTCTTTTGAGTTGTAAGGTTTCAATCACACAATCTCTAACGCTGCAATGACGGTATGCCCTTTATTATTACAAATTTTAAAATAGAGGGTGTTCTTCATATTGATTCCTCTTGGTATAAAGTTCTTGAGAACAGTAATAAACTAGGGACCTTCCTTAACATTCATAACTGCCCTTTCGTTCCACTAGCTCTTGGAAGGTCAACAAGCCTTGATGGACTTGAGTGGTGGACAGATATTAATTTAAAAATTAATGAAGCCCTTGGGCATTACTTTATTTTTTTTTTAAGTGTTTTGGTATGACTCCTGTATTTTCCTCCCCCCTTGGAACTCCAATGGCAGCTAAGAGTGAAAACCCAGCCCCCTTTCCCTGACCATATATAGGGTCCTGCATTCTCCAGTCGGAGCCTTCCTGGTTCAGGTTCCAGCACCCACCAGGAGGACCCAGAGGTCCTGCTGACCCTTTAGCGAAGCAGCCCAACCCGTTCCCTCCAGCCTCCTCCAGCCTAACCCTCCTTCTCTGTTGTTGTCAGTGGCGGCACCTGACTTGCTGGATCCAAAATCTGCCGCCCAGAACTCCAAACCGAGGCTCTCCTTTTCCACGAAACCCACAGTGCTTGCTTCCCGGGTGGAGAGTGACACGGCCATTAATGTTATGAAATGGAAGACGGTCTCCACGATTTTCCTGGTGGTTGTGCTCTACCTGATCATCGGAGCCACCGTGTTCAAGGCGCTGGAGCAGCCGCAGGAGATTTCCCAGAGGACTACCATTGTGATCCAGAAGCAAACGTTCATATCCCAGCACTCCTGTGTCAATTCCTCCGAGCTGGACGAGCTCATCCAGGTAATTCTCCACAGGACCTGGGACTCCCTTTCCCCCAGAGATGAAACAGTGAGGGTAGGAAAGGCGGTGCTGTTCTTGGTCCTGATGTTCTGGTAGGTCTCCTCTTTGCCCTGATGCTGCTTGGTAGCTGCCTTTTTTTCGTTTCCCAGCCTTCCTTGTGCTCATCTTCCATCCTTTCTCATTTCTCCCACCCTGTGCGCACTCCCTTTTCACTTCCTCCTTTTACTCCTCCCCATCACTCTTCTCCCGCTCCTCTGCATTTCTCCTCTCTTTTCTTCCTGTTTCCTTTCCCATTTCTCTTAGACTGCTGTTGAACACGGGGTTATGCTGTGGACACCCTCGTGGCTAGGGTGACCCCTGCCACTGAGAAGGGTTCCATGACAAGTGACAGGGAAACCAAGCCCTTAACCTCGGTGGTGTCCAGCGTGAGACTGAGAAGGTGGAGTTGCAGGACTCTCTTGAGCTGGGTACCCTGTCAGTGACAAATTGTCTGCTTTAATCTGGCCAAGGTATAACCCTCATCGTAGTCCCTTTGAACTGATTAGGTAGAAGTGACTAATTACTGTTGTTCTGAACCCCAACCAAAGTGATTTCCTAGTACACAGAAAATAGTTTTTTGACTAAAATCTTAGTTTTAATTTACTCTATAATAGCAGGACAATATGGTTATGAAAAAAAACTTGTACATTTAACCCCAAAATGATTTGTAAACTTCAGAGAATCCTGGCTTCTGGCTATTTGTGTTGCAGTTTTCTTTTGGAACAAATCATTGGTCAAACTAAGGATCTCAGCCAAAAAGAAAGTCCTAGAATACTTTCATAAGAAGAGAAGTGACCACTTATTGAAAACATTGTAATTGTACACACATTTATTTTCTTGTAGAGCTCAAATCTTCAATTGAACAGAAACTTTAAGTCTGGATATTCTTCTCAGGAATACCCAGGATATTCTTCTTCTGGATGTTCTTTATACTTGATTTTATGCCATTTGCATGAGTTGGAATGAGAAGGATTATTACTCATCTTAATTCCATTTTAAAAGTTCTTGGTCCTCGACTCTAACTTTGTCTTCCTGTGGCTCTCCTGTGGCGGTCTACAATGTTCCCTCTGCTCTCCTCAGCTCTCTTGTCTATTTCTAGCTACCACGACATGTTCTTCTTCAACTGTTTTTGGAAGCTAAGCAGAACTAGTACTGTCTGAGCCTTCTCTAGGTCTTGTTTTTTTTTTTTTTTTTTTTTTTTGCAGTACCAGGGATTGAACTCAGGACCTTGCACTTGCCAGGCAGGCATTTATGCCACTGAGCTATTTCCTCTGCTCTAGGTCTTGTTAGATTCAGAGAATTTTGCATTCATCCACTGGACTTAATTTTGTTTTAGTATTTTACTTCCTAATTTATTCATGGGTTTAAATTTTGAAAATGCTCTTCAGGAACCTACTCACTGAATTCTCTACTATTCTTAGGGGATGGTGACACTTGCAGTATTGACAGTGAAATTGTCAACTAATGTGATTGTCCCTGGTCTCCCCTTCCTTGCTCTTGCATCAGATCACTTTCACGACCTCCTTCTTTGCACCACGTAATCTAATAAGGCCCTAGAAATCCTTAAAGAGTCCCTCCTTGCCCTAGGTTTTAGCAGAAGAGCTGTGGATTGTCTTGCTGAAGGCTGAGCAGAGCTTTATTATACTAAAGCTTCTACTTTGGGATTCCGTAAGATATGTTTTTAACTTCATTTAAGTGTTTTGCTAGAGATGTTGTCTTAAACAGATAATTTTCCACTTTAAGCTTTAAATGACCTACCTGGAAACGGGAAAAGATACCTACCAAGCAGAGGCGTTGGAGAGAAAAGTGTGGAGATGCCCAGGAAGTGTAAACCTTGCTTGTAACAGTTGGCTACTATTTGCCTGCTCCCCAAGCCCTTTCCTGGGCTGTAGTCGCTGATTTAGGTTGTTCCCCTCCTTAGCATCTGGGGTGAAGTGCTTGTGGTGGGCAAGAAAACCAAAGTGGAATTTTAGAAACTGCTAAAGGAAATTGCACGACTTTGAAAGCAACCCCCACTGCCATCCCCCCGCCCCCCGACTGATTCAGAACTCTGAAGAGAACTTGAATTTCATGCCGGGTAGGGCCAATCTAGTGGTTAGTAGTGATCATTTTTTACTACATTTGGAATAGGCACAAACAAACCTCAAAATGTGACCTAATTGTTTTCTGTTTTTTGTGAACAATCTATTTTCATTTTTTAAATATTCACTGCTGGTTAAGCAAATTTGCTCCCTAAACATCTATTTTTGTGCTTCATGCTTTTAAGTGCAGAAGTTATATATTATTTATTGCCAATATCACTGACCTTTATCACCAGATACTTTTAATAAATTATTTTTCTCTTGGAATATAATTTTTTCAAAAAAAATTATTCTTTTTGTACAGGGTTTTGCTACACAGTTCAGACTCATAGTGATCCTCCTGTCTCAGCCTTCCCACTGAAGTGCTGGGATTTTAGGCATGTGCCATCATACCCAGTTTCAGTGGCCAGCACAGCATGCCCAGGGCAGGGCCAATGTCATTGGCGTGTGCTATCAGGGATTGAACGGGGGTCCTTGTGCTTCCCAGGCAGGCGCTTAGACTGCCGAGCTATATCTCCAGCTCTCATTGAATATAATTTCTTCTGATGGAAGAAGTCCATATAATGGCATGACTTCCAGCATCAGGTGTGTAAATAGGGAGGAAGGAAAACGAGCCAGTAACCGTTTACTAGAGTTCTGTTTCGTGCACGATTTTCATGAATGTTCATTTTTCTTTTCTCTGCTTAATTCATTTCATCATTTAATCCTTCCTTCCACCTCTTGCGTAGTGTGTAACATGCAGGTATAGCACAGCATCAAGGGCTAGGAGACTGAGATGCAGAGAGGCCCAGCGAGTGACCCTGACAGCATCAGTGGGGTGAGGGCGCTCGGCTTCCAAGCCTTGGGCTGGCGTCAGAGCCTTGGGCTGGCATCAGTCCGTCAGTCCTCCATGCCTCTGCTCTTTTGGGACTCACTTTTCAGTGCCGGGGTAAACAGTGGGAGTGCTCAGCCATTCTGTCTCCGTGTTGGTCAGGAGGGAGTTCTGGCTTCTGGTTACGGGGACTCGTTGGAGGAGGAAGAGGAGGAAGATGAGAAGAAGGAAGCAAACAGAAGGCCAAGGGCAGGTGTACCTGGTCTCGTCCTAGGCCCCAGGTGGCGCCTTGTACCTCTGAATGACTGTGAGGCAATCAGGATTTTTGGACTGTTTTCTCTTCTCTTTTTGTGATGGCATTTGTTGAAGACCTCCAATGTGTTGCTAGGTGTGGGGTCAAATATAGGGCTGGAGGGAGCACCATTTCTCTCAAAGTACCAAGGCAGAAGAGACTGTTACCAACACCATTATAACCAAATGCTTTCAGGACGGGGAGCTGGTAGGGCCACAGCAGGAGCACCGGGGAAGATGGTGGCCTTTTAGGGGCACAGGAAGATGCAAAGCAGCGGTGAAAGAGAGACAGACTGCGGGCATGCTGGCCACCATGTTTAGAATGAACTGCAGGCACAGTGGGAGTATCTGGGAGGCTGCCATCACACCCTGCAGAAATGAGGGTCCTCGAGCTAAGGTGGCAGAGCAGGGGTGGGAGACATAGGCAGATACTGGATGTATTTTGGAAGGAGAGCCAGCGAGGCTTTCTGATGGACCAGATGTGCAGCACAAGGGGAGGAATCAAGATAATCCCTCAGTTTTTGTCCTTAGAGTGTACTAGGGAAAGAAAAAATGCAAAGCGGCACAGGTGTGTTGTGTCTCAGTAGCTCAATGACCCGAGTGTGAGGAGCAGGGCCGTGTGCAGGCCCAACAGAGCAGACCAAGGCCTCATGTGGCGCACCAGGGAGATGGCTTTCATCTGGCCTGATCACCCCTCACCCCCTGGCATGGGTGTGCTTTGTGGGTGCGTGGTTGTATAGCAGGGGACACCTAGAGCTACCAGATAAGTTCTAGTCCATAGACATGCTTTCCTAGGATGTCAATAATGCAAGAGTTTAGATAATTAACCATCATTTTATGTCAGTTTTGGAATTATTTAAAAAATACTTACAGAATGCTTACTACGCAGACTGTAGGCACTGCAATATAGGACAGTGGAAGGTGAAAGTTCTTGCCTTCATGAGACCTGAACCCTGCTTGGGGAGGATAGAATGATACCTGGTGATAACTTGCAGGAGAATGAAGAAAGGTGGAGAGGGAACATAGCCATGTTCCAGCTGGGTTATTACTAGGGTATCAGAGTAAGATGCTGAGTCAGAAGCTGTAGATGTGAGTTTAGGGTTTGGGGGAGGAGCCAGTCTGAGGGTGCTTGTTTGGAAGTCGTCACTGTGTATAAGGTATTTCAGACCACGATGCTGTGAGAACTCTTCCTGGAGCCTGAGTGCGGGCTGAGATGAGAAGGGGTCTAGTGTGAGCCCAGGGGCCTTTCCCCTTGTGAAACTGCTGAGGAAGGAGTCCACAAGAGAAGTGAGCAAGCGATTTATGACAAGATTTAAGGGCATTTCTCATGTTAGGGAGCTGCATCACCTATGTGCTCAGATTTCTGGAAATTTTATTCTTCTTTGCTTTTAAGGATTTTTTAAAAAGAAATATTTCAGAAGCACATTTCTCAGCATGGCAGCTATTGAACATACATGAGTAGGGGATTCCATTTTTGTTTTGGGTCGTGACTGTCCCAGTGGTGGAGGGCTCGGTCTGCCATATAAGTGGCCTTAGAGCTGGTATACGTAGTGACGAGTAAGGGTACATGATTGTATGCGCAGCAGCTTGGTACTATTACCGCAGCATCTGTATGCACTTAGATAGATTTAATATTTGACCTCACTCTAGGAAAGAAAAGAATCATTTTAAAATTATCTAACCTATCATTTTATCAATAATGTGCCCTGAAGGTGTCTAAAATGCTTTCTTTTTTTTATCAGTGGCCTTACTCATTTTGTTTAACAATTTATACGAAA